CGGCTCAGGTCATGGTCTCAGGGTTCTGGGATTGAGCCCCAATGGGGCTCTCTGCTCGGCAGGGAGCCTGCTTCCTCTCTCTCTGCCTGCCTCTCTGCCTACTTGTGATCTCTGTCAAACGGATAAATAAAATCTTAAAAAAAAAAAAAAAGTTCTGGGACCAAGTGACTAGCATATAAAATGACTCAATCCCACCCCAGGACAGACAAAATGCAAAGCTATCAAGGTGTCATAAGAAGCACCTATCTTGGAGCAGGTGGGGGGCTATGGTTACACCTTCAGGAACACGTTGCTTTTTCTGCCACCTTCTGGGTTTGACGTTCTCTCTGGAGTTCTTAGCAAACATTCTCAGGCTTACCTTATGTAAGAGCATTATAGATATGTACAGGAATGTTCGGTCACTTCTACTTAGTTGGTTAGGAAAATAAGGTAAAACGAGACTTGAAAAACGATGAAGGGAATTGAGCCATAATTCCCGTAAACATAAAATGTGTGTTTATGGCCCTCCGGCCTGGTTCTTTTCAGGTCCAGTTTATTTTGAGTTCTTGTGAGCAAAACACGAGATACAAACTGCCCTTGCCTTTGTAATAATAAATACCTCAAAAAGATCTGTATTTTCCCTAAAAAACAGACTGAAGTTTTTAAAAAAAAAATTTAGTTTAAACTAGATTGATTTTAAAAGGACTATCTCACAAGACCAAAATGTTTGCTAGGGAGTGCTCAGCCTCTCCCATGCGCTTTGAGTCTTTTCCAGAGGAAGGGGTGGGAATGAAGGGAAAGAGCCAAGAGACATGGGTGCAAAATAAATTGTTGAACCCGGATAGGTCTTTTTAGCTGGAGGCAGAGGTCATGCGCCCTACAGTGGGTATACCACCAACTACAGTGAAGACCGGACATTGAATGAGAGCATTGGAGAGAGGGCATTGGAAAAGGAGAGGCAAGTTAGTATGCGCTCACCAGGATCCTTCCTACGGGCGCCCAGGGTGGCCTACAGCCTGTATCATCTCAGCTGCGTGGCCCCTTGGAATACTCAGACCAAGTCTCCTTAGGGGGCAGCATACCAGAGTCCACACTAGGACAGTCCCTGGGCTGACAAGGAAGGTGGAAAACTCATCTGCCCCGTTTTCTTTTTCCCTCATTCACCATCCACCCCACCCCACACACACACCCCCAGAAGGCACAGGCCATCTAAACTGGGGGCAAACCAGAGACTGCATCTGCCTCCCAGCCTTCCAAAGCAAAGACTAGCCCAGCATCCCACTAGACCTGCAGCAGCAAAATGTACAAAAGAGGACATTGACAGAAAAAAAGGGGACTTCTTTGGCTGTGCATTCAGAGTGGCCTTCAGCCAGTCTGGTCTCTGCCGGTCACCAACTACAGCTGAGTTCACCCATTTGTCGCCTGCCTCCAAGCTGCCTGTCTAAGGCTGTAGTCTCAGGGCTTGACTTTCTGAGCTGTACGAAGCCCTAGAACCTCACACAGCAGTGATTAACTGATGATGACACCGTCAGTGAGGACTGATGTTCAGATTAGAATCTTTATGACTTTTTTCTGTTCCATGTTCTCCATCTCCTTTATCACTTGCCATGAAATCTGGAACCATGAAGAGATTTGCCCATTTTTTGTTTCAATTAAAAGAGCATGAGGAAGATGGAAAGTGGCTAATTCTGATGGCCTCAACACTGAGGCCACTCGCCTCTGGTGGACACAGCCTCCCAGACCCCCACTCAGCCTTCTGCCTGGCGTCTTCTTCCTTTCCATTCCCAAAACCCCCTCTGGGTCTGAAAGCAACCTACCAACTACTTCCCCTGAATTGTTATCTGTTTCCAGCTGGGGTGCAACCGGCTTAACTTTGTCTACCTGCTTCCAAGGCCTAGATGTGCTCTTATAAACAGACTTTTTTTTTCTTTTTTAAGTATCAAATGTCAGAGGATTGAACTACCAGTATTTACACATTCAGGGGTTGCCTCCCTGGTGAAAATGTAAACAGAACCCCACCACACTACCATATTCTTTCCTTGAAGAACGAGGGCTCTAAAACATTCCACTCGTGCTAAAATCGCAGACCCATCCAAGTTGGGGGTTGAAAGTTCTAGGTCACTATTTTGTTCCATGCCCAAGTGGCACGTTACCAACAAATACAATTTCAGCTTCTCCCTACACCCTGTTCTCTGCCTTAAGATGCTATGCTGCGGGCATGCAGGGAAACTGACCCCTTGCCTAGGGGACAGATGGGCCCTGAATGGACTCCTGCACTGGGTTTGCGAGCCTATTTCGAGCCCCTCTCAGTTCTTTCCCCTCTCCTACCACCCAGCCACCTCAAACCTAAAAACTATTTCTCAGTGCTGCTGCTCAGGGCTGTAGTGGCCCGTGGAGCCGGCTCTGGAACCCTGCTGCAGAGGAGTTGGGTGCCCCCAACAACCCTCCCCCCCCCCATTCTCACTGACCTTGCCTTCCAACCGCAACTCTGGACCCCGCAGAAAGCGCCCAAGGGCTGAGAAAGGACTGTCTTCACGGAGTCCCTGGGGTAGGTCTCCCTTGCCGGGTGGGGCTCCCTTTGAGACCTGGGGCCTGACCCTGCCTGCTTCCAAACGACAATACCCAAGGTGAAGGCAAGGGTATCCTCTGGGTGAGCCCAGCCAGGGCCAGGGATGAGTCCCAGACCCGCACACCTCGCCGGATCTTCTGTAGTCTCTGCCCTGGGCTTCCTCTAATTTACCGCTAGCAGGGTCCTGGCTGACACTCTTTTCCACACCAGACTCCGTCAGGCCGACTCCTCATCTACTCATCAGTCTCCCTTCGAGACTCCCAACCAAGCCCCGAGGAAATTCCAGCTCCTGCCACTGTCCATCCCTTGCCCCAACCTCTCTTCCAGCTTTCTCAAAATGCTCACGCCACTTGGGCGCCACGGCCCGGTGCCCTGCGGCCCGGTGACTTACAAATGGAGATCCATTTTCCGTTATAATGCGTTCAAGATCACTAAGGCCAGCAGTCTAAACATCCACAAGCCGTCCTCCGGGTCTGCCTCTTAAACTGCCGTTTAATGGTTCCCCTCCGATAACTAAACCTGCTTTCCACAGATGCCGGCTTTTATGGGAGAGGCAGGAATGCAGAGATATATTTATATGTTTGTTCATAAAAACTGGAAAATAAGCTCTGAACACGCTGTAAAAAATATTCAGTTACTTACCAAACAGGCTAGTTAAACCAGGAGAACACCGATACCGGCCACACCACAAATTCGGGGAATCGAGGTGCCTGCGCTTTGAAATCGCCCAAGGTCGTCGCGGGGGCTGCTGTCCCTGAAGAATATGGAAATAAGAGTATTTACAATCGGCTTGACCGTTGGTCCGGGGGTCTCAACCAGGATCTTCAAAAGCGGCCACGGTACCAGAAGCCACCTCAGACAGCCCCGGCCAGGATTACGTGCTGGGTAAGTAAAGAGACCTCTAGACGGGCATGTCCAGCCTGTGCCCAGGTCAAAGCAGCAGCCTTCCCCGCGCTGCGCCCGCCGCCCGCCCGGGCCAGGAGACAGCTCCGGCTCCCAGCAGCCCCTTTGCGGGGGCCCCGCCGAGCTCTGCCTTTGCTACCCACCCCCCACGGCACAAAAATGGCACGAGGCTGCCTGCTTACTTTCTTGCCTCGGATACCTATAAAAACACTTCGAAAAGAGATATCTGCGTCCGCGCCACCTTTTTTTTTTTTTTTTTTTTTTAAAGAGAAAAGAAAACGGAGTGATACTATACCTGGTTTGGGATTCTTCAAGATTTGAGACTTGGGGGAAAAAATAATTTAATAGTAAAGCATCTGCTAAACACTTGCATTAACCTCTGGCTGATAAAAAAAAAAAAAAAGTTTTTTTTTTAACCCTGCCCCCCCTCGTTTTAATTATCTCATGGTTATGAAGGGGCAGCCAATCCTGGAAGAGGACTTCGACAATTAGCAACGAGAACATCAAAAAGTTTTATTGCGGAGAGCAAGAGGCACCGCCCCTGCCGCCCCGGGATTGGCGTGAGGAGCCTCTGACGACATATATTAACCCGAGCAGCCTTAAAGATGTAGCTGTACATGGAGATCTTGCTGGGAAAATCCGCTTACTCCCCTCACGGCGTCCAGCCCAGGAGAACCGCCGCGGCTGCCACCCGGGAGCTCCCTCGGCCACCGTGCAGACCCCTCCAAGAAGCCGAGCCGCCGCCTTCGCGCCCCGAGGCGCCTGCAGGGCCCCAGATCCTTCCCCTGAAAGAAGGAAAGGATCTGAGAAAATGGATGCACTGAGACCTCTCTGAAAACCCTCCGAGGGAGCCCGAGAGGAGTGAGGACACGTTACTCGCTGCTAAAATCACATTCAAGGACCAAAACAACAACAACCAAAAATTTCATTAAAACAATAAGCGCCCAAGAACCCAGATCGGGCTGGTGGGGGGGAGGGGAAGGGGCGGGAAGGGGAGGGTCGCATGGAGGTAGCTTCACAGTGAGCAGTCGACCCCGCCGCCTCCCTGCAGAGCCGGGCCGGCTCTCCCAACCGCGGCTCGGACTCGTCCTGGGACTCCCGAGTTAGCTTCGGTATCAGGATCGCGGCCGCGGTGGAGCCCGGCGACTCCGCAGAGCAGCCTCGCGGGAGCCCCGGCACCTTTGCATGAGCACCAGAGGATTCTGCCTCCCTGCAGCTGCCCGGGAAGCAGGAGCCGGCGCGCAGGCCGAGGAGCAAGGCGGGAGCCGGCGGCGGCGGCGGCCAGGGGCGCACGGTGCCGGGACCAGCTCGCCGCGCCCTATGGGGAGCCGGCGGCCGAAGTGCTGCTGAGGCGGGCCCCGCGGGCCAGGCGGGGGATCCCGGCCCGGGCTGCAGCAGTCCCCTCTGCGGCTGCCGGGCCGGCCCGGGCGCCCGAGAGCTGGGGGGTGGGGGGTGGGGGAGGTCGCCCAGCGCCGAAGCAAGGGCCCCGGCCGAGGGCGCGGCGGGGCTACGCGCACGCTGGGGCGCGTGGAGGGGCGCGGAGGGCGATATGAGTCTGGTGGGGGGCTTCCCCCACCACCCGGTGGTGCACCATGAGGGCTATCCGTTCGCCGCTGCCGCTGCCGCCGCCGCTGCCGCCGCCGCCAGCCGCTGCAGCCACGAGGAGAACCCCTACTTCCATGGCTGGCTCATCGGCCACCCCGAGATGTCGCCCCCCGACTATAGCATGGCCCTGTCCTACAGTCCCGAGTACGCCAGCGGCGCCGCCGGCCTGGACCACTCCCATTACGGGGGGGTGCCGCCGGGCGCCGGGCCCCCGGGCCTAGGGGGGCCGCGCCCGGTGAAGCGCCGGGGCACCGCTAACCGCAAGGAGCGGCGCAGGACTCAGAGCATCAACAGCGCCTTCGCCGAACTGCGCGAGTGTATCCCCAACGTGCCCGCCGACACCAAACTCTCCAAGATCAAGACGCTGCGCCTGGCCACCAGCTACATCGCCTACCTCATGGACCTGCTGGCCAAGGACGACCAGAATGGCGAAGCGGAGGCTTTCAAGGCGGAGATCAAGAAGACAGATGTGAAAGAAGAGAAAAGGAAGAAGGAGCTGGTCAGTACCAAGGGGCAGGGGGCAGAAGGGGTGTGGGGTTCGTGGGACCCGTGCTACCGGACTCTTTCCAATTGGGCTGAGCAATGACATCCCTCGTTCTTTGGCTGCATCCTAAGCCACGGTTGTTTGAACCAGGTTCTGGAAAGGATGGTGTCCCCAAGAAGCTGAGGAGATGGGGGAGGATGTCAGCAGCTACAGGAGGAGGAGGTTAAGAGGGATGCTTCGCGCTCTTGATCTTCCCTCCGGGTTATCGCTGTTCCCACCCGCACTTCGGCCGAGCTTTTCGGACTTCGGGGTCCCCACTGATCTTCTGATTGCCCTGGCCCAAGTGTTCTATGTCTCTTAGAGCCTTCATTTGGCCTCCAGTCCTCTCTTGCTCTCAGGTGGTTCTAAAATAAATCGCCCAGAAGCGCTAGTTAGCAATTATTTCACTATTGATCCCTATCCCTCTCTGGAGAACCTGGCCACCACTGATTCTAAGAAAGTTTTGTGGTTGTTACTACAGTGGTCCGAAGACGTAAAGGTAAACATAAAATCAGTATTTTTAACTTCAGAATGCACCTCCAGTTTCTCTTTGGCCATGAGGTTAAACCGTAACTTCCCCGATTAGTGAACTTTCTGGGTATTTCTTGTTTTATTTGCATGAGCATTTTAAGAGAAACAGTAAATATTAATATGGTCATTGTTATTGTTGTTAACAGTAACATGGAACTATAACTGAAAATTAGTTATCTCAAGTTCCTACCAAGTGCCCATAGGTTGGTGGTGGTCGGAGCAGGGCTGTTGCCGTGGAGGGCCTGGAAAATAATACCATTTGTCTCATTTTTCTTCTTTGGGGCTCGCGGCGCTTTAGTCTGTGCATAATCTACTGACCTTCCGAATAACTAGGGATCTCAGAGGCCTCGGAGGAGAGGCACGGCCGCGTTGGGGGCCGATAGCCCCCAGCCCAGGCCAGGGCAGAGGGAACTTAACCCCATTTCCCCCAGAGCGCGAACCTGGGACTGCCATTGAAAACAGGGAAACCAGATTTAGCGCCCACCCCCGCTTGCGCCCCTACATCTGGAGTCAGAGAAAAGGCCCCCAGCTCCTCCATAAACGACTTGGAAATGGCTGGTTGTTTATAAGCTTGACTATCCGGTAGTTGAGCGTTTCAGGCGCGGGGAGGCCTGGCCGGCCGGTAGCTTGGGCTACGCAAATCTTCATAGCTTTTCTACAGAAGCTAGGTCTTGAAAACGTCCCACCTCTAATCTCTTGCTCTCCTTCTCTCACTGTCTCCTTTTCTCGCCGGAAAAGTGAGGGGGTGGCGTGGAACCAGGTCTCCCTTCTGAATTTCTCTTTGCACTTTTCTCCCTTTCGCCTCTCCTCTGCCCAGAATGAAATCTTGAAAAGCACAGTGAGCAGCAACGACAAGAAAACCAAAGGCCGGACGGGCTGGCCGCAGCACGTCTGGGCCCTGGAGCTCAAGCAGTGAGGAGGAGGAGGAGGAGGAGAGCACGAGTGAGCCAGGGCCCAGGAGCCGGAAGCAGACCCAGGACTCCGGGCAAGCTCTCCAGGCTCCGCTCTGAGGACTTCTTGCATTTGGAATCATCCGGTTTATTTATGTGCAATTTGCCTCCCCTCTCTTTGCCCCCCTTTGAGGCATCCGCTCCCCACCTCCCCCTCCAAAAAAAAAAAGTGGATATTTGAAGAAAAGCATTCCATATTTTAATATGAAGAGGACACTCCCGCGTGGTAAGGGATCCCGTCGTCTCGTAGATTCTGTGTGTGTGAATGTTCCCTCACGGCTGCGTAGGCACCAGCGTTGCCCCCTCCCCACTTACCCAACCCCTTCCAGATAAAGACAGCAGACAACAGTGTGTATGTGAAGTGTATCTTTAATACTTGGCCTTTGGATATAAATATTCCTGGGGATTATAAAGTTTTATTTCAAAGCAGAAAACGGGGCCGCTAACATTTCCATTGGGGTCGATATCTAGTGCTGTCTTATCATCTGTGGTCGTTCCCTATTCGAAGATGTTTCCAACAGCTACTTGTTTCGTGCACTTCCGTCCTCTAAAACTAAGTGGAATTTAATTAATATTGAAGGTGTAAACATTGTAAGTATTCAATAAACCACTGTGTGTTTTTTTTTTACAAAAAAAAAACAATCTTTTAATGGTTGATACCTCAAAAGAGTTTTGAAAACAAAACTGTTATACTTGTTTTCATAATATTTAAAATATTCAGAAGTAAACTAAATTATCATGATTGCCTCTAACTTTGTTTGAAAGAGTCAGTAGTTTGGATCAGTCCTCACCGTGAGCTCCAGCCCCCGCAGGGAAGTGTTCTTGGTGAAAATCCTGCTAAAGGACCTGGGTTCTATCAGAGTTCTGTCTTCTTCCTGCCCCTGTCCCTTCACCCCCCCACCCCCAGTACCCCAGTAGGCCCAGGAGTCAGTATTAGGAGGACCTGGGTCAGAGAAAGGGCTTGGCAGTTCACTAGAAAGGTGGAAAGGTGTTCTTGTTTTCCAGAAATCAACCGGATGTCATTCTGTGGGGGGCCTTTGGTTTTTGTTTGGGGAACGTGTTTTAGGTGGAGGAGACTTGAGGAAGATCCCAGGAGTTATTGCAGCCGCAGGAAATAGTCTATAGTTTTTAATTCAAATGTAGGTCTTTTGTCCAGAAAAAGAAAAAAGAGGAAAAGAGGACTTTTTTGTTTGTAATCTCCATCAGGGGAATTCTCATCGGTGCCGGCCTTGGAGTGGGGGGAGAGCTTTTGGGGGAAAGTCCATGATTAGGTAACAAGGAATTTTACATCAAGTAAGAAATCGCGAACACAACCAAGGATTTAAAGGGGGGTGAAGGGGGGGTTAGATTTACAAGGAGCTACAGGGAACTCAATATTAACTGTGCAGTGTCTGAAGTCTTCCCGGCCCCAGGCCAGCCCAGCGAGCTGCTCCCTCCCAGGCTACTAGCCGCTGGGGACTTCACCCCACCTGAGGTTTGGTCTCCTCGAGTCCCAGCACATCCCGAAAGGAAGTCCCGGAGGCCTCCTTTGCCCGTAGTCTTGGCTAGAGCCGGAATCTCTGCTCTAGGAACCAGAGAAACTGAAGTGCCATAAAGGACTCGGCAGGCCAGGGAGGGGGTGGGGAGGAGGGGGAACGATGGAGTAGAGGGGGTGGGGAAGAAAGGTGAAATGTATTAAAAAGCGGTTTGTTTCATGGAACGCCACGTATATAAATCTGGTGTTAGGGAGGCTTGCCAGAGGGTTTCCATCTTGGAACCCATCCTCGGGGTGATGTTCGCACCTCGACTCCAGGCACAGACCTTCCCCCCGATGTCCCAGTGGTCCCCAGGGCTTCCCACGGCTCGGGGGTGCCCACACTGAGCCTGCCGCCTGCAGTGGGCAAATTCGCAAGCGCTGGGGGAGAGACGGGCGAGTGGCTCTGCGGGTTTCTTCTGCGGGCAGCTGACAACGCGAGGGCGAGGGGTTAGAACAACTAGGCCAAAGCGATCTGAACTTTCTCCCCTCGGGTCAGGCGGCGCTGGGCGGACGTGGTGGGCACGAGCTGTGTTTACAGATACTTGCCTTTGTTTATAGCACTGGGGGGCGTAGGGAGGCGCGCCCTGACTTTCTATTACTCTTGGGATTCCTGTCGGTTGGACCGAGTGGCTCTCTCCCTTTCCTGCCTCCAAGGGCCTTTTGCATCTTTACTTTAATCCCATCGGGAGAAAGACTTCATATCCCAGCAGTAGAAGAAAACGGTTTACTGAAATAGTAGAGAGAGTGGTGGTGGCAGTGGTGAGGTTTTTCAGCCAGGAACTGAAGAGGAGTAACCCACATCACGCATGTGGGCCTGGGCTTGCCCTCCGTAGCTGGTCTTCTTTACCATCCGGGCCTTAATGCACTCTTGCTGGTCTAACCCTTTTTTGGTTTATTAGACACCAGCAGAGGAGATCCCGAAGAGCCTGGCTGCAACATCGCTTTGGGGCGGCTTGTGGCTACACACGCTTTAAAACCCACGCTGCAGAAATTCGTCCTCTTTGTCTGGCCAGGGCCAGGCTCTGCCGGCCTTCTCTCCTGCCTGTCCGCCAGAAGAAGCTACTTCTTCTGGCCCAGCAGCACCAGGCCGAGACCTCAACCATCTCATCGTCCCAACCTGTGTGAAAGCCCAACTGGCCAGACATCCAGCAGACCTGACACTCCAGGGGGCCGGACTCCTAACTGGATGCACACCCTAAGGATCAAGACACCCCAGATTATGCATCTCTACAGTCACGGGGGACTTCCCAACCTTCCGAACATTCCCAGCCACCCAACATCCCTGCCACAAGTTGTCGGCTCCTGGGAAGTGAGTGGTGTGCTGGGCTGGCATTTCTTCTGAGCTTCCATGCTTACCTCTTCTACACATTTATTTCTCTTTTAACTCCCTTTCTTCTTTGCTCAAAAAAAAAAAAAAGTTTCCAACCTCTTGCCTTGCGGGACCGGCTAAAAGGCCTCTGTTTTAATTGCTCGGATAATGTGGTTGCTGCCATTTTGTTAAAAGCAATCACTCCTGCAGCGAAATCACAAGCTCTCTAGACAGGCCGGAGCCGACAAAAATGCAGGATTTGACGTTAAAAGCTAAATGGGAAGCTGGGGCGGCGGAAGGTAAATTGATGGTAGATCTGGCTGTCAGGGCCCCGGCCCCAGACCGCCGCACAGGCCCAGGGCCTGATAACCCCGAAGCACTGGCGGGGAGAGGGCTTGGCCGCTGTGTGTGTGTGTGTGTGTGTGTGTGTGTGTGTGTGTGTGTGTGTGTTCCTTCCTACATACCCATTCTCAACTTCTTGGGAAGTAATCTGGAAAGCTCAAGAGAGCGGGACCAAGCACACTCCTTTTCTAGGATTTTCGCCCCCAACTGAAACACTAACGGCAGCTTTAAGAGATTTTTTCAGGTCAAAACTATGAGAAGAATAGAGCAAGATCACTAGGGGTTCTTCCTGCCTTCTAAATCCCGCCCCACCCTCTGGAGGCTTGGTGGGAAGCTCCAGCATCCCAGTGGGCTAGCGAATCTTCCGGGCACCTACGAAGGGTGGACCTCCTGGCCTACACTGCCCTTCTCAGGACCAGGTGGCCTAGTCGTCCCTGCGATGAGGTGGGGACAGCGGTGGGGACAGCGTTGGCTCCAGAAAGGGTAGCAAGTGCGCCTGAGTCGGGGATGGAGGGTGGCGAGATCCCTTCCCCCTGGCCTGTGCCTCTACTGGCCGCTGCCTGCTACTGGTGAGGATCACAGAGCTGGTATCCCACGTGTTGTTAAAGAAGCGGGAGGGTGAGTTCCGTGCACGCTGATTTCGCTGGAAGGGGTGCCTAGGGTGAGAGTGAGCTCAAAATCAAAGCCACGGGGAGCGGCAGGAGGCAGGCTTGTGAGCTACTTCGGAGACTTTAACTTTGCAGAGAGAACCCGAGCCAGTTGGGAGCGCTTGAGTCCTGCGTGCAGGGGACAATAAACTGGCCCAAGGATTCCACAACAGCCGGAACTGCATTTGTACTGCGGGTCTGACAAAGCGCGGGAAACCTCTCCGCTATTCCTGTAGCTTTAAAGAAATGCTGTTTCTAACGCTGCCTGTACGGCTCGCAATTTTCTCTTCCACAGCCGCCTTGCGTTCTCTCTGCGCGCGAGTCCCACCCACGCGCCTGGATTTTGGAAAAGGAACTGGGTGGTAGGTGCCAAGCCGAGATGATCTGCAAAGGAGGCTTGTGGCGTCAGCCCTCGTAAAGGGCTGAACCTGAACCCTGGGCTCTGTCTTTTCTGGATCTGTTGACCTGAGGGAACGCCTTCCCTCCACCCAGCCCAAATCCTAGCGTCCAGACCCCTGCATGAAGAAGAGGCACTGACAAATCTCTGCGACGCACTGGACTCCTGGCCTGTCGCAGCCCGCGGATCCCTCGAAGAGAAAGACCTTGCAGACGCCCTCAGACTGGGGCTCGAGGCCCCAGTATCCCCCTTCCTGAGGAAGCTCAGCCGAGCTGTAGGGTTCACGTCTACGGGGTGGCAGTAAGGCGGTGGGAAGGTGGGAGAACGAAGTATTTTTAACTGTTTAGAAAGGGCAGGGCGAGAGAAGGAGAGGAAACAGTCCGACGTTTCCAGGGGACTGACAGCTCCGAGCGCGCAGCTTTACCATCCAGCTTCTACCCCGGCGAGTACTCTCCGCACAGCAACCGTCTGCCGGGCTCAACCTGGCCGCTAACAGCTCAGCGGCTTCGGCCAGTCTTGTGGAAGTTAAAGTGCACTGCGTATCTGACTCACGCGCACAGAAGTTAGACTTCTCTCCCTGTTCTCGCTCCACCCTGCCCAAGTCAGTTTCCTTCGAGGATCGCGTCCCCCGCCTCTCCCCTAAACGTGACCACCCCCCCCCCCCCCACACCCACCCATTCCCTTCAAATTCTCCCGGCATTTGGTCCGCTTTGATGATCAGATGGTAGAGCCCTGATTACAAATTTATTCCCCGCCGCTCCGTCCGTCTTTATCTCCGCTATTAGGGACATCTGGGAGTGATTAGCGCCGCGCCCGCGCCCGGCCGCTGTGCCTATCTCGCCGCGGCGGGGCCCGGAGCCTCGCTGACGTCAGGGCAGACGGCTCGGAGCCATCCCAGCCGAGTTGGGTGTAATCGGCGGCCGCGCGGCCAAGTCCTCCCCGGGCCAGGCCGGCAGCTGGAACGCACCGCCTGCTTGCGCGCAGGGACTTTCTAAATATGTATTTTTAGCCCAGAAGACGTTTTTGTTTTTCTTGTTTGAGGTAAGGCGGGGCCGGTTAAAGTTTCTGTCGGCCCCCTCCTCACTTTAAATTTTCCAACTCGCTGCGCCTGGTGCATTCAGCATGGAAAAGCCTCCCACAGCCGGCCCTGACTGACCTGCGGGCGCTCCTCTACCCCAGCGCAGGCGTGCTGCTCTCCTACACCAACAGATGCGGCCCTTGCCGCGGTGCCCGTGCAGGGAGAGGGAAGAGAGGCGGCGCTTAGGGCTGCCCTTCCCGCACACTCCTTGCCTGGCCCCCACAGCCCTCGGGCAGCAACAGTGGGAGTTTCTGCCTAATGAGATGGCCAGGCAGACGCTTATTACAGAACAGGCCTCTCTCGGAGGCTCTGTCTTGCACCTGCTAGTAAAGTCCAATGGACCTAAGGAACGGAGGCGCTAGACCTTCTTCTGTTTATCCTCCCCCTTTCCCCAGTGGGAGTGCTCTTTGGCTGAAACAAGAATGACTGGCATCCTCTTGTCCCCTA